GAGCCCTTGATAGTTATTTACGTATTGGCCACTGTAAAGCAATTTAGTAACAATTAACAGAGTGTAACATAGCCTATCAAACAATACATTGAAGTGCAACATGAGATTTCCCATACTTGAATATCATAAAAAGTTACTTGAGTAACAAGATTATGTGCTTTTCTGTGAAAACAGGAAAAAAGACGGAATAGATTAGCAAGCTAATGCCCTACTTACATGAATGCTTGACATAAATAAAAAGGGCAATGTTCTCAAAGTCAACACCAACTTACTAAGACTGCACCCCACAATCGATTTTGTCTCGGATTCATGGAACCAATTGCATGCATAATGAGACTACATACTAGTAATAGAGTGCAATCCTAATGGCTAGTTGAGAAAGTGTAACAGATAATTGAATAATTCTATGGGTACTTGATCAAATCAAAAAGTTCGAAGGCTTAATTAGTCCAATAAAATACTGGTAATTTGTTGTAGATGAAAGCTAGCTGTAGCTTTTCACAGTGCATATTATCATAATGTCGAAACTGCGCAGAGCGAGCAGCGCGAAACTCCTCCCATGGCAGATAGCTCCGCCCACCATAATTAAGGCACCCATCCTTTTCTCCTCGTAACACCTACACACCCACCTTCATGTGCCTAGCAAATTTCCATAACCCAGAGTCAAAACTGAGGTAATGTTATTGAACAATGTTATAAAGATTGTGGGCGGGGCTATCTCCCGTGGGAGGAGCTTATCACTGCCCACTGAGCGCAGGTGCAACATTGGAGTTGCAAGCTTGCTGAAGGGCATGTATAATAATTCGATAGTACTGATTTGCACTTTCAATTCACAATTTCAGCTTCTGAAGGAGGTATTAGAGGTTGATTGCGGGGTGGCCGGTTAATATATAACATAGATATGTTACTAGATCAATGGCTCTAGAATAAACGGTTGCATCCTAAATCTTGCCAGTAAGGGATAATCGCAGGAAAAGTCGAGCAAGCATTTATTCCACTCCACTTGCTTGCTTTTCATTTAGAAAAACAACAACTTATTGATTGACGTCTATTCAAGAGAGTGAGTTATGGCTACCAGATAGCATCAGCTTTAAAGCTGTATATTGATTGTCAGCTTCACGATGGCAATTATTTTTTGGACTTTCAATATATATTGTATGGCTCTGGCGAAATCTTCAGAAAGTTCAAGGCTAAATATCGAAGAAGCGAATTTCCAAGTCCAATGAAGGATCCTATTGTCTAAAGCAGTCAGATTTGCAAAGTATTCGAGTAAAAGACAGAGGAGTTCTTCTTATAGCTGTTGTCGTCTGACCAGCTGGGTTCAGGCCCCACCCCTTCAACGATTTTTAAGCTCTCCACCATGAGAGATAACCAGACCTTCTGCAATTTTAGTTCTGAGACCATTTTGAAACTTGAAGCTGAAACAATGTGAAGATTAGTGGTGGCTCTGTCACGGGGTGTGGTGCGTTAGGAACGAAATGGTCGTCGCGGTGAGAGGGGCGTCGCGCGCGAAGGAATG